TGGAATCTCATATACCTGACTCTTACAAATGAGACTCGAAATTCCAAAGCCCTTGGCAACAATCATACATTCTAAAAATTAACTCTGTCTCCAAACATGGATCCTTTGGTAGTCAAAATAGCATCATCTGGGCACTAGAAGAATGGATCAGCAGGCTGGAGTATTTAACACTTTGCAGAACTAAAGAACAAACAAAACACCTCTTGGGGAAAGACTCAGATGAGTAGCCAATTATTAGGCCTAGGAACTGAAACTAGAGGAAGAGAAAATGAAATGGTATATTCTGCAGGAGAGCATGGCCTCTTATGCAGAAAGCCTGCACACTGCAAACATTTTCTTGTACATCACAGTTGTAGAATTGAATTTAGGGGATCCTGAAGTGAAATGGCTCTGGGAAAGGGAAGAAAGTTCATGAAAATTGCTCATGGGGGGAAAGGGAGTTAGAGAACCCAAGGACTATTTTGTAGTTGTCTTCAGAAAATGCTGTTTCTCACTTTCATTCTTAAAACAGATATGGGAAAAGCAGTCATAAAATGGCACCAGATGCCTGTCTTCGTAAGTTGAGAAAGGCCAGGCTTGCTTCTAAGACCTGTGTGTGTCTGAAAAGGTTCCAAGAATGAGAACTGCCTGAGCCCACATCTCAAAGATCAGATGGTACAACTTCCTTTACTGGAAGATAAACTAAATCTACTTTACTTAGGGTTAGGTTTTATATGTGAGAAACTTGCTTACCCTTAAGTATTCATTATCACATTTTTTCTACTTTTTATTTTATTAAAAGAATTTAAAAACCATATTCATTTTTTTAAAAAGACAAGGTTGAAGGAAACCAAACCATCCATCCAACAATCATTCAGGGAGGGCCTGAGTCATTCAGTGAAAGTCCTGAGCAGGACTTTCTTGTGACCTTAATGGTCAACCAGATTTGTAATGAATATCCAGTCTGTTGGATATTCTGGTCCCAAGCTGTTTAAGGACTTATAAGTATCAACAAATCATTGAACCTGACTCAGTTGCTAACTGGTACAGTTGCTTCAGGAAAACTAATGCAGAGCCAGCTGTCCTGTTCCAAAAAATGGTCACCACCTTCTGCACCAGCTGTAGCTTCCAGATCAAAGACAGAAAACATTACAGTTATCAAAACAGGAAGTCATCAATGCATAAACAAGAATTTCAAAGCTGTCCCTGTCCAGGAAAGAGTGTACTATAGTTGATACAGCAACCCAAGGTGGCAATAGGGTCTTTGGAACTTGTTTCATTAGCAATTCTTGGAGCACCTTCCAACCATATACTGAGAGAGTGCAACTCACATCTCCCCAGTTCCTGTACCCAGGAACCATCCATCCACAAGATCTCCATCTTGCCAGGATTCAGCTTCAGTTTATTGACCCTCAGCCACCCCATTATCACCTCTAGTTTTTAACAGACAGCTGTTGCTTTTATTTTTAAATACAAAAACAAAGTTTTAAAGTTACAGGGGCCTCTTATTTGGCTTACTTTTCAGAATACAAATAAAAGTAGATATTGCACAGCCAATCTGATGCATATGCCCAAGTTCTGCTTTGGAGTTGTGTTTAATAATGAAAAGGCAGGATAGAAATTTCATAATAAAATAAAATATAACGCTACATTATAGGAAAAAAAATCAAGTTGGGGGCTACAATCACACAATCAAAACCCGCCCCTTTTTTACATGTGTAAAAAAAGAGTAGGATTTCTATTATGCAGCCATAGCCATCATCTTGACTTTTTATACACCCACATCTTTGGACTCTCCTGTGCTGCAAACATTCTGGTACTTTAACAGAATCTGGGGACAAACATCTATTCACCTACAACACCCTCCAGACTGGTCTGAGAATTTCAAGCACATGTGAAGAGTGTCAGACTAGGAAAGGTTAATCTATGATATATCATTAGAGGGTTTTTTCCCCTGGTGCAAAATCATAATAACCAAAACCTTCATAGACATTTTGTTCTGAAGAGTTGAAACTTTTAATTAAGCAGTTTAGTCATTACCTAAAATTGGACGTTGATATAGTCCTAAAAAAACCTGATTGCTTTTTGTGTAGTCCTGCACTTCTTTCTACTCTCTTGCCAAGCTATGATGGTACTTAACTCGTCACAGCTTAGAAGAATTTGCACCTACTCCAAACCCAAACTATTACAATACATGGGAGAAAAAACTTGGTACTATTAGATGAGCTCCAACAGCACATCACAGAAGTACTTTAAGTTCTATCAAATGTATGTTGGATCCTTTCCATTACATATTTTTTCCTGTCTTCTTTCATACATGTGGAAAGAGAAACCTAAATTGCACTACCTGAATCATTGAAAAGCAAGGGTTTGTCAGAATTACCACAAAAAAGAATCTGACTGGTGCAGTACAGAAGAGTTTGTAGTTTTATTCTTAACCACTAATTCCTAGAGGCAAGGGACAAACAGATTAGTGAAAAACTCAGCAAACATGTAAATGAGGGGGGAGAAGCCTGAGTCATGCCAACAGAGCAGCCTGTCCAAAGCTTGGACTTTGGCAACAAACCGATGAAACCATCCTTTTTCACACCGAAGAGGCACTCATTGTGCCTCCACATCCCTGGAAATTGCTTGGCCTTTGTGTAGTATAAAGGTTAAGATGTGGGACTTGGATCAGGGAACTTCAAGTTCCCCATCAACCATGGAGTTCACCTGATGATTCTGGGTCACGACTTTCAGCCTCGCAAGGTGGTGGGACAGGGAGACTGACTTACATGTACTATACGCTGCCTTGAGGAAGCAGGTGCTGTTAATTCCCAGAGAAACATCAATTATAATGCAACAATTAAGTAAAATTGGCATTTCAAGTTTTGAAATGGCATCATTTATCCAAGCAGACCAAGAAACTATGGCTTCCATCAGCAATCTCAATTGTTTCATGGACCTAGGCTCCTTCACGTTTTTTTGGGAGGGGGGGTAAGAGATGTTACTAATAACAGGTGTACAAACAGTAATTTTAGGTTAAAATCCAATATACATTTACTTATTTTTGATTAATCAGGCATAGAATTAAACGGTCAGTACCTCAAACACTCTACAGGTGGGACTGCCTCTTGTACAGCAATGAAGGCTTTTCATCTTCCTGGTTTAAAGGATTATTTCCTTAAGGCTAACATTCAGCTGAGCACCGAGCTAAGGTTTGGACCTCCCATTACCAAGACTACATCCAAAGTCAGATGGACCATATCAATTCTGGAATTCAAGCTGTGGGACAGGCCAAAGATGGCCTCCTGGAGCTCAGTTTGGGAAGACACCTTCCCACCCTTGCTATACAGTGAATTCACACAGATCTACTTTAGGGTGTTAAGAGGAAAAATTATGTGGAATTTAAGCCGCAATGGCAGAACACAGCCTTGAAAAGCTTCTCTTGGGATGAAAAGCTCTCTCAGGGTATCCAAGAAGCCTTACCTGTCAGTGTTTGCAGATTGAACAGGAGGAAACAACTAACTCTAAAACGGGTGAACCAAACCCAGAGTTCTAAATTTGGGGATGGAGAATGAGCTTATATTGTTCTTCTGGAAAGCTCATTTTTCAACACGCACTATACTTTTAAAAACCCATTTCACAAGGCACATCAGATAATAGACTGTAGAAGAAATCTTCCACTAAAGTTGCAAATTTCTAATAACATTTTAAAAGAACATTCACCCAAAATCTAGAATAATGTAGGTAGCCTACAGTATATTGGTATCTGCAGCACTCCTAAAATGCTGCATTTGTTTGTACCGAAACAATATATTAATTACAGGTTACTTACTTTCTTTAAGCAAAGCAATCTTAGAGCATTACATAAAGAAAATTGCTACTCACTTATGGAAAACACCTATTCTCTTTTCTGTTCCCACACTTCAGTAGCAAAAAAGGGAAGTTTCCATTTCTAAAATCATCCATATTTTATCCCTTTTCATGTCACAGTAATAAAAACAGAAGGGGAAACCTAATATTTAAAACAATATTTTGAAAACTTTATTTTATGCTAGATATTCTTGTTGGAAACAGCTTATGTGCATTCTAGGTTATGCATACTTGGGACTAAAAATGAGTCCTTCATAACTTTATTTTCCTCTGGAAGAACCTGTGTGTTTTCTACATTGGAGCAAATGTGAACCAAACCAGGACCAACGAGTAGGGGGTGGGGAAGGGAAGAGAATAGAATTTTCTTTTATCACACTTTTTTTTTTACAGGCAGAACAATGTCCAGGGCTACAGACAGTTATTTCTGAATGTTTGTAGTCTTCAAACAGTGCTCTAATCCAGAGGATGCCAAGGTTAGTACTTTCTTTTGCAATGTGCCAGTTTGCCATTAAAACAAAAACACTAACCAATTGATGTGAGACAGGACAGGGAGCCTGGTGGTTCCAAAGAAAACTGTTCTATAGCCACACTTCGTCCTACCATTACATATCCCTGCTGTATTTGACTTATCTATAAAGATGATCACACATCTATTCTTTCTTCTATGTTTATGAATGGATGAGAAGAGGATACTGCAAAGCAATTTCCTCAGTTTGTGCCCTTCAGATTATATTAGACTATGACTCAGAACCTCCCCCAGCCACAGTGATGCTGATGGTTATAGTCCAAGACAGCTGGCAGGTAATAGGTGGGACAAGGCTATTTCATAGCACAAGTGGAACAGAAAAGATTCAAAGTCTAAGTGATACTAGCAGTGAAGAGATAACTGAAAAGAATTATCTGCCCTGTTTTTTTTTTAATTTACATTTTTGTATATGTGTTTACTATATGCACTAAATTATGTTTGTGTTAGAAGGGTTAGACCCATGAGTTACAATAAGAGACACATCCTGATTGATTTGTTTTTAAAAACCTCAAGATCTTTAACTAATTTCTTAGGCAGCTACTCACCCAAAAGTTGGGGTAGAATGGATTTCTAGCTAGCAAACATTTTCAGCACCTGGGTCATCAGGCAACTGGAATTTTCCAACCCAGCATCCTACTGGCATATCTCATACACAAGATTTAGGATGAATTTGATAGCCATCCACTGGGCTCTTACATCAGTTTTATTCATTGGGCTTCACATAAAACCTTCCCACGTTATAGCAGGGACTCCAATGAGACCAATTCAGACGCAACAGAACATAGAAGTACCAACAGAAACTTTTATGTGTCAGGAGGCAATCAAAACATCTGCTTTATATCATCAATTATCTACAGTTCCTCTGATATCAAAACTCAACACAACTACAGTTCGTGGAAACAAGCCAGCATCCATATCTGTAGGGTAGCCAAGTTAGTTTGCTGCAGCATAACCACAAAGATATTCTGGGATTTAAAAATTAACTGATTTGTTCTAGCATAAAATTTTGTCAATTACATCCACTTCATCAGATGCATAGAATATTCATTTGATATGGGCCTCTGATTACAATGCCACAATTCATGCATCACACTAAATCACAATATGGTTTGTTAAACAACCGTTAACGTGGCTTCTTAAACAAGTCATAATGGCCTAGTTCATACAAAACTCTTAACCCAAAGAGCTCTGTTCATGTATCATATGAAGTCCAAAACAAACAAAACCACATTGCAGCATGAGATGATCTATATAGTGGTGAAATAAATGTAGAAGATAATGGATGACAAATTACTATCCTGCTATTCATAAAGCAGTTGTTCAGTGTGATGCAGACATTCGTGCTGGGTGCAGTCACATGATCCAGCCTCTGTGACCCCAGTTTAGTCTTGGTTCTCTCTCTGGCATCTGATAGGAGGTAGTCATATTAAACTTGCATGATACAGGTGATGCAAAATAATTTGCTGGTGGTTTGTAGCAGGGAGAGAAGCCAATGACTCATTCATTGCTAGGCTATGGTTAGCACCAGCCATGCTGTGTGAATGTACCTGCAGTGGGACTTTTTTTTTTTTAGACAAAATAATTCTGATCTGTTCCAGCCATAAATCAGCAGCTATGTTTTGTTTCTGGCTTTTAAAACTATGCTTTTAAAAATTACAATTCCCATATTCAGACATTATGGTGAAATGTAGTTAGTTTAAAAATTAAAGTTAATACTTTTGGTCATTTCATCCTAGCACATGAATACATCTATCTATATAAAAAAGAGCCATGTGAAGGAACACTTGAGACCAAGGCTCATTCTGGAATGATAAGGAATGATTTCTTAACTTCAAACACAGGTTGATCATATTATAAATGCAAAGGGCTACATTAAAAGCAAAGAAGGAAAATTAGACAGAAAAATCAAGCTATTAAAGTAGCCCAATTATAGTTTAACATTAATCTCTGTATTGCATTGCTTAATTAGAACAGGAAGCCCCAAAATAGGTGTGCAATTAAATAATAAATCTACAACAGCTCAGACATATTTTATTTCAATCTGTTGCAAGGAAAGGTCGTTTTGCTTTTGTTTTTCTTTGCATGGTCTTAAAAACTGACCCAAGCCACCAAAATATGTGGCATTTAGCCAAAGTTTGGTTCATTCAAGATATGGAAGACCAAATAAAACTTGTACAAAAGCATGTCATCCAAGTAGTTATGAGCACTGGTAAACCAGCATTTGTCATCATTTTAAAAACATTTATTGCTTCATGAACATTGGCAGAAAATGATTTGGCATCTTTTGAATGAAAGTCAATTCCCAACACTACACACATGTACTTAGATGAAATTTCCCCTGACTTCAAAAAAATAGACTTCCTGGAATTTTGAACAGATAATTGTTTCTCATTTCAGTTTATCTTACACTAGCAAATATTGTTTCAGTGACACAGGTATTGTGATACCTGCGCCTCAGCAAAGAAGACTAAAATTAGTTGAAATTATCTTATGGAAAAACATTTCCATGTGAATTTAGACAAGGCTTCCTGAACTTGGAACCCTTCTTGTTAGACTACAACTAACCAATGGTAAGACAAGCTAGCACTGATGGGCATCAGATGGGGAATCATCAAGACCACCAACATCTACATTTTGTACCACATTTCTGCAGATATTTGGTGCATCTTTGAATGAACTGTCATAGATTCTCTGTAAATAGAAAAGAAGCCCATTGCTATTCAAAATATGATTTCCTCCCCTTTTTTCCAGGTCAACAAGCATGCACATTTCATGGTGTAAAAAGGATCTGTCAATCAGGGGTATACAAGGAAGATACACTTTCGCAGAGCTGCTCAATCTGTTATGACATCCCCACACTGTGCATGAAGTAGGCATATCATTTTAACAAAAATATATGAGATTCACCTGCAGATTCTGCTAATTTAGCAACACAATGTACATTTCAGAAATGTGCTACATTATTCCTGAAGCCTACAAGGCTGAAAATGCCGGCAGGGAACATCTCCTTTTTGAGCCAAATGTCATAAGAGGCACAGTTTTATGTATCCCCCTGAAAAACATAATTTGACTATATGGTAGTCCTCACAGTCGTCATGCAGACTTCTTAGCAGAAGCCTTGATTCTGGCCCTTCCTACATCTGTATACAGTCAATTCATGGTTCAACTTTCAGTTTCACCAAAGCGTAGGCCAGCAGTCCTAAACAAAAAGAAACTACCACTAGTGGGGAAAACCCTCAGTCTGGTCAACCTCAGCTTGTCAGCTCATGTTCTTCCCATCTCCAATGGAAAGGGATGATTTTAGCAGCATGTTCAGTGGTGGAACTTATCTGTGCCCTCTGGAATGGAGACAGATTTTCAGCAAAGGTCACCTCAAACCACCCTCAGTAACCAGACTGCCATTTCCAAGGCCTTCGCAAAAGAATCTATACAAAACAGCAATATTTTTTCCACCAGGACTTGGAGAGGTTTTTCATTTTGTCTGGAGTCCTGTTTTTGGATTTCTTTGGCTGTTGCTGAGTATCCGAGTGGTGAATGCCAGCCACAATGGCTGCATCAAAGACTTCTTTGAGGTTTTTCTGAGTCAAAGCGGAGCACTCGATGTAAGAGGCAGCTTTTATTTCCTCGGCACAGAGCCTTGCGGCCTCCTCCATCACAGGCTTCTCTTTGCATTTGTCAAGCTCAATTAGGACTTTGACATCTTCCCGGAGGTCCGATTGGGTCCCGACGAGAATAATAGGGGCCTTGGGACAGTGACACCGGATTTCAGGAACCCATTTCTCAGTCACATTCTGGAAAGATGAAGGGCTCACAACACTGAAGCAGAGCAGAAAGATGTCTGTGTTGGTGTAGCACAGTGGGCGGAGCTTGTCAAATTCATCCTGTGCAAAAATAAAAGCAATGTGAACATGGTGAGACTCTGTAGTAACAAAAGGGCCTTTCTATGCTTCGTAAAGCAAAGTGCAGGATAGAAAGTGTTTTTTTTTCCTTACTGATTCTAAATCATTGCTCCCAAATATAGCAGAATCATTATCATCAGCGACCAAATGGACACACAGAGCAAGTTCTATAAAAAGAGTAAACATAACTGCTCTGCAGAGGCGGTAGCAGAACCCAGAGTCACAGGCTTCCCATCAACTGTACCAAGGTGGAACGTAGCAAAGAACCAGTTATTTGAACGTGATCTCAGAGAGAAGGAAAGGGGACATGAAAGAAGAAAGCACCTGAACAGAGAAAACTAGCAATTGTACAGAAAACTAAAGCTAGAACCCTCTTCCTTGACACAGCTTTGTTTTGTTGCTTTACATGGAACATTATTTAGTTGTGCACTGTAATTTGGCAAAACCTCAGGTAGTCTGTCCCATGTGGTTCCACAACACCGAAGTAAGAGCACAGCCAGGCACAGCATTCGGCATCACCATCAGCTGACAACCATAATTGGGGAATAGAATCGGTTCAAGGGTTGGCTCTGCTATGATGCAATGTTCCTTCATTCATTTCAAAGAGGGTAGCATTTAACAGAAGGCACTAACTTAGGAGCTACTGTTGATGTTGGAAGAACTGAGAAATTATAGGTGGCTCTCATTATCTGTGGTTCCATTACCCATGGCTGCTAAAGACAGGCCAGATATCAGTGTACGCTTCACTTAGCTGTGGTTTTTGTCTTGTTTTTGTTACTTTATGCATGGGCAAAATGGTAGGGCAGGCTTTGGCACATGTATAAAGTATTTATTAAGGTCTTGTTATCCATGATCATGAAGTGGGAATGGAACTGCCCCCAGACAGCAAGAGTAACCTGTATACAACATGGAGTGAATATCTACTGTATATGAACTAAAATGAGAAAATGGAAGGAGAACTGGGGACCTTCATGAAGTGAAGAACCACAAAGTATTAAAATAATTCAATCAAAAGAAAAAACACCATATGTGGTAATCTTCAACTGAAGAAAGCTTGCCTCAGACACAATCTCAGGAATCACAACCGTAAAATGGCCATAAACTGCCAATGCAATACAGTTCAGGGCTAGATCAAATCTGACATACTAGCTATAATCTAGCAAAGAATAAGTATTAGTTTGGAATACATTTTTTTTAAATACTGTGGCATAGAATTTGCATATGAGTCATGTCTATCTCACTCTATGCTTTCTTTTTGACTGCTGCTTTGTTGCATTTACTTATTGATGGGCTATTTTAGCTTTTTATACCACTCCAGAATCCACTTTGGTAAGTGGTGGCAGCGGCGGCAGCAGAGAATGAATGAATGAATGAATGAATGAATGAATGAATGAATGAATGAATGAATGAATCACACACACACATATGCACGCATACATACACCAGACCATTTTTTTCCTCAAAGTTGAGAGAGCAAAATTTTCTAGCAGCCAAAATAAAAAGTAAAATCTCTTTCTTGATTTTTGAAGCAACAATATTGGTTGTAATTACTAATGGATATTAGTAATTACACTCCTGTTTAAAGCATCATCTACTCAGAGAAATTCTGTCTTCTTTCTTTATAGTAGTTTATTGTCTGTGTATCTTCTGATGCTGTTGGAGTATAACTCCTATGTTACAGTGACTGATGGGACTTGGAATCCAACATCTACAATGCTATAATATTACTGGGAACAGGAGTTACGTATGTCTGCTTAACCCCTTTCCTTTGAATAGATTTGTCTGGCTTATGATTCTACAAATATACCAGAAGCACTAACATAACAGAATGAGATGATTTGGTTTTCAGCTTAAATCTGATACCCTAAGCTACGTTCATAACATTCATAAATTGAGACCAGATTTAACTTATGGAGGATAGCATGTGGTTTTCTATTATGATCCATCGGTATGGGATTCATTCAGTGTCAAGGGTGTCCTTTCCATCCTTCTTTCATTCCTTCCTCTAGAGCTTTGGGGGTAGTGAACTGAATGCCTGCATATCCAATGCTTGGATATATAAATCAAATAAATAAATTCAACAAATCAATATCCTAGCATGTAAAGTTGACTCTAAAAACATCTTCCTTGGAAATGCAACTGGCTAGGATTGCATATCACATTAAGCCATTGTTTTAATGCTGTTTTTTGACAAACCCCAAGGACTGGTTCATACAGTAATGCTAAGCCATAAGCTCTGGTTTAAAACCATGGGATTTACCCACACTCTGATAAAATTACAGTTTAACATAAAATGTGAACCCAGCCAAAGTGAACTTTGTTTCTGGTGAGGTACTGCCTCATGATTAGTGATCCAAACCTTGGGAGACAGTTTAACTTTTACTGCCACTGTGTATACATTGCCTCATCTCAAGCATTTCACTCTTAGAAATATATTCTCAGCTTGAGGCAACTATGATGGAGTCACTGCATCAGATTGGTCTGTGATGGGCTGTAGGATTCTGCAGCCCTTCAGGGTCACTACCAAAAAGATGCTTCAGAGCATACAGGAGTGTGAATGCACCATCTGTCTGAAACACTGTAGATTGATTATGTGCCATCAAGTCGATTTCAGCTCCTAGTGACAACATAGATAGATTTTCTCCATGACAATCTATCCCTAACCCGTTCTTTCTAATCTGTCAATGGTGCATCCATTGCCACTGTAACTGAGTCTGTCCATCTTGCTGCTGGTCATCCTCTTCTCCTTAGACCAAATGCTTTTTTTCCTGGGGTCAGGTGGCTCTTTTAAGGAGGCACCAATAGGTGAAGCATGCATGCCCAAGCCCAGTCTGAAGCACATTTTGGACACAAAGAACAGCACTCCCCTACCAGACCACCTTTACATCTCTTTCAGTTCTCTGAGCAGGGGAAAAGATCATGTATTTGAATAATGAAGGTTTTTGGCTAATCATAACGAAGTTGCTGGAAATTCGAAACTAAATCCTGGCAATCTTGACACACCAAGGAAAGAATACAGCTACCAGCCACATCTAGGAATCATGCTGAAGGAATCAAGAGATAATACAATGGTCTGCTTTAGGTTCATATTTACTGTAGCCTTCAACTGCAATGACTTGCACTTGACACATTTCTCTCACCATGAATAAAATAACACCTTCTGGTCTCCTTCCCCAACTTCCTGGTTCAATACAATGAATGTTGTCCTATGCTACATTTCAGAACTCTTTACATAATGCGCTTTTTAAAAAGCTTGGCTTTCATTGTTAGATCCGAACTCAACTTCCTTATTGGAAAGAGAGATATCTCATAGTAAAAGGGAACAGCCTGACAATTACACAAATTCCAAGAGTTAAAGATGAGGAAAGTAAACAGAGGGAAATATTAACATGGCAACAATGGCCCCCTGAAGAGGCAGGATTTGTCTCTATTGTGGTGGCATTTTAATTAAAATCCAGCAATGTTTGTCAGAGGGCCTTAAATTAACAAGTGCAAAGAGCAAACACATTCTGAAATGTCCTTCTGGTGCCAACATTTTGCTGCCAAGTTAGAACCTGTGTATCAATTTGCAAAGGGGTGGTGGTGATTTGAGATTCTTATTTGGAGAAGATACAGATGTGCAGCCCTCTTTTCACTTGAATTAACTGGGAGGGGGGATACTTGCAAAGAGAACTTGAGATCTAGGAGGTAAGATTTCATTAGCTCACTCATTTGACAGACTTAACACCCCTCAGGAAAACGAGGCACAACGCAAGGCACCTGTCTCTTGGCTATGGGGCCACGTATGTGGGGTGCCGTATATTGCAGCTACATAAATCTACAAGGTTTGCAGCTCTAAATAATTGCACAATTAGAAATCTTGTTATAGATCTCACAGCTCAGAGGAACAATTGTTAATTCACACAATCAAGGAATAAATGGAGAGGTCAGGGCAAGGTAGAAATGAGAAAGCCCCTAGATAATCAAAGGCTCTTTTCTCATCCCTTATCATCACCTAACAGACTACAGAACAGTCTTTCTTGACAAAAAGATGGTATTAGCATCCACAGCTCCAAGAGGCTTTCTAAAACCCAGGGGAGAAAGGTTACCAGGGCCTACAGCTGATGTTTCCTATGACTGGATTAACTGACGTCAATCAGAAGAAATAAAATAAGTGTTATTTCTTACAATATATGTATCCCATGCCAGCCATAAGACTCCAGGTAATTTTCACTCACTGAAAGGCAGTAAAACCTCCAACCTGAACCACCCCAAAAAACTTGATAAAAACCATAATATAATCCTGTCTCCACAACTTAAAAAATCGACACAATGAATAGCACTAGACTCCAAACACCTGCAGAATAAAAGCATTTTAACTGCCTTCCATTATAACTAAAATGGGGGTAGCCTGGGCAGGGGGTTCCATACGGCAGGGACAGCTACTGAGAAAACCTGACCCTGGGGTGCTGTCTTTCTCACCCCTCCCTTTGAACTGCACTCAGAAACTTATTGGAAATGAATGCAGTGCCTGCAAAAGTGTTGTTATTGTGGTAAAGTGGCTCTCACGGGCCACCAGGTGTGCAGCTGCAGTTTCCAAGTAGTCTTCAAAGAGAGTTCCGGGTAAAACACTTTGTATTAATCCGATCTTGAGATGATATGGGTATTGAGTCCCTGATCTTGCAGACCCCTTACATAAAAAGCACGGGGGTAGTTTGATAAGGAAATAGGATGCATATACAGCAGACAAGATTTAGGGACAAAAGCCCAGGGTTCTACTCTGCAGAGCTGGCTTGTTGTATTTTGAAGTCCTTAAAGCCATATATGAGAGCCAGTTTGATGTAGTGGTTATGGCACCAGGCTAGAAATTGGGAGACTGTGTTTTCTAGCCCTGCCTTAGACATGAAGCTAGCAGAGTGACTTTGGGCCAGTCACTCTCTCACTGTTCAAGGAAGAAAGGAGTGACAAACCACTTCTGAAAACGTTGCCAAGAAAACCACAGGAACTTGTCCAGGTAGTTGCCAGGAGTCAAACCTTCCTCTAAGGATGGATGGATGGATGGATAGATGGACAGACAGATAATCTCCATTTCTGTTGATGGACGTAAGTCCCCAAGACAGAGGACCACAACCTAGCCCTTAAGGCTTGATTGGGCCTACAGAGACCTCCAATATCTGTTGCCAATATGTCATGTACCAGAAGAGGAAAATGTTTTAATACATTACTAGAGGGATATCATAACCACATTTAATTCTAACTGGATGTAATTGAAATGAATTTAGGTTAAGGTTTTTGTCCTATTCCTGTCCACTTTTTGGATCTGAAAGCAAATGCAGCCCTCAGTCCAGAAAATGTTGCACAATCCTGCTATAACTCCAGTGCACCAATCCCCAGACACTGAAGGAGCAGCAAAGCTTTTTCTCCAGACTCCGAATGGTAAATAGACTGCCAAATACATACCCACAGGCACAAGATCATTCTCTCGCACTCTCTCTCTCTCCACACCACACCACACATATACATATCCACAAACACACAGACCCCCATGCTTTTTCACACATATGACACTCTTGTAAACAAACGAAGCAACTCTTTTCCCCCTTCCACTGTTGCCATATCCCTGTTCAGGGACTGTCACTGTCCTGGTGACAAAGAAGCCATTACAGCCTTGTGCCCTCAGGGTAACAAAAGAGCCACTTCCCAACCACTGCTCAGAGGGGCTGTGGGCCCCCGGGCTCCTCATGTCACCCTGGGAAATGAGCGGCACTGCTCCCAGGCTGTCACCAAGGTAACCCACGTGTCCAGCCAAAGGCAGCAGGGGAAGGTCCAGAAGAGCAGGCCAGGAGGTGGGTGAAAGGGAGCCAGTTCCATAATGGCAGCTGTGAGAAGGTGGCAAAGGGCCACAGGGCAAATCTGACTTGGGAAACCGATGTTCCCCAGGGAAGCCCTTTTTCCCAAGCTTAAGGACTTCTGGAGATTTAAGAAGGTGGAATCCTCCAAGAGGAGTACAAGGATGATTTTCCATTACCAATCCACAGATGTGTGCTGACATACACACTTATACTCTCACACACAGCAGAAAAATCGCCATATCAATTCCATAAGCAGCTTTACTAACCTGCCCGGCTGTGTCACAGAGCTGGAGCCTCACTGGTCGGCCATCGACAGACACTACAGCTGAAATGGAAGGGAGGGGAGAGTCAGAAAAACTTTTACCCGTTAATGAAGAATTACATCTGTCCTCACATTGCTCATTTACCTTTGGACCAGTTTGAGCTTAACAGCCTGCAGAGCTCCAAATCAGCCTCTTCTCTCCAACCTCCCAACAACTCCTGGGCTTACATAATCCCTTCAAGGATTCCGGCCTTCGTTACAAAGCAGAAAATTGTGACCAAAAGACACTTGCCCCCTACAAAAAAGAGAGTTGTCCCAAATACAAAGGAGGATTTTGCTCCACAAACACCCTCTAAACATGCTTGAAGATTGATTTTAGAGAAGGGGGGGTCAGGTTCTGTTTTCAAAGCTTATACACCAAGGAACCCCTCCCCAGTGCTTTAAATCACAAAGAAGACAATACAAATATTTACATATTTCCCCTGAGGAGAAATTTTCTCTTCTTCTTCTGCTGTTTCTCCTTTGTGGATTAGGTTGGGGTCTGTCTCTCACCTACCCCCTGCCCATCATGTAAGGCTAAAGGCATGCTGCTTTTGGTTAAGTACTACTCTATCAATCTGCAACACTGATAGTAAAATTGTGTCCTTGAGGTATTTAGAACAGCAATTTTAGCTACAAAGCAAAATTGCTTATATCAGCATAAGGCAATAAACATGAAGTCTCAAAATTGTACAAAATTGTACAAAAGTCAAATATTCCATTGGAGGTTTTTTATTGGTGAGTTATAACAAACTACAACAATAGCAAAATATATACACTAGTGATTATACAATATTTTTTTAAAAAACTACCTATGCTACAGTGATTAAAAGAAACCAAACATTTAAAAAATGAATACAAAAGGTAAATCTTCCACTGTAATCACAAACCCTATATTCATTCAGGTTCTCAACCACAAGTCTGCAAAGCCTACATAGACTTATTTGGGAGTAAATTCCACTAAATTCAAGGGAACTCATTTTTAAGTAAACTTGCATCAGAGTGGTTTACAGGTCTTGCAGAAATAGGACAATTTAGAGTAGATAACTACCTCCGGTGGCATAAAACTCAATCACCCCATGTTTCATATTGTAACAAAAAGCCCTTGCATTTCGACATCAGGTCAACGCAAGAGCACATGTTCTATAATGCTGGCTGGAAAAACATGTTCCTGCACTGAATGAAATACACACAAAACTCCCACAATTTCAGACCTGTGTTTACTCTTCAATGTTTGCTTTCAAGCACATAAAAGCTCTTCAAACCTTACAGAAAAGGTCTGACCAATATAGATACACCCCTGGAAGAACCACCTTTTCCGGAAAAGGCAACTAACAATGAATATTGTCTCCCAAAGATGAGCATGATGACCCAGCATTTTCTCACTTCAGACCACCACCCTTATTTTAAATACTGGGGAAGCTGACAGGGGCAATGTAATTACAAACATTCACAAGGCTCACAGCAGAAAGCTATCTCCACAGTGGTTTTCAAGAACATAAAAGGAAATCTAAACTAACTGGTGGGAAGAAGGGCGAGTAGGAGTTACCCCCTATCTTAAGGGATAAGGATTATGACTTAGCCCGAAGGATTTGCAAAGTGATAGAGAAGTGCAATATTGTAGAAAATAAGTAATAAGAAATCCAAGGACAGAAAAGACTCGGTATAACTCCTCTGACCCTGAGATAAACCAAACTACAACAGCCAAAAATTACTGTGCTCTGTATGTTATATTACAATATAAACAACTGTCACAATGCTCCCTCCAACAAGCATTAGTAACAAGTCTAAAGATTTTGATTTTAATCCAGTTAACAAGTTACTAGTCCTTATCACGGGGTCTAGTGGAAAAAATATGGCAGTTAAGTATCACATATTCCAAACTGAAGTAAACAAAAAGGACACTAAACTTGTTAATCGTGTGGGGAAAATAAACCCCACTAAATGCATTCGAAGTTCCCAGTAAACCTAAGAAACGTCGTGCTGCCCGTATAGTTTTAAATTTAACAACTACAAGAGGCACATACACCTTGCAACAAATAAAAGCTGTCCGGGATTAAATACTGTACATTTTTATATATGAATATAAACACGAACTCGCCACACAACTGGGTATAAAAAATTAGCGGCATGTTTTCTATTCTTAACTACTGGATCAACCACAGTAATGGTCAGAAACGGGTCTGCCCGCCTTAAGGGAGAAGGCAGGCATCGTCCGCACTTTCTCAGAAAAAGGTTCGGCAAACGTCTATTGGCGCTGCTTTCCACGTTGATGCCTCCCTCGAGCAGAGTTCGGGTTGTACTGATTTCGTTTTTCGCAGGGATCTATGGGTTAATTTACGATTAACCCCGCCCCAGACGCAATTAGGGACTGATCCATTTCGTTGGCCGGCCAGTCCTTCTTCCCAGCACTCCCCTCCGGTACGAAAGAGGGATCAGGCCAGGCCAGCCTTCGCCTCCACGCGCACCTACTTCAGTCCGCGGGGCACCGCCCCTTCCCGAGTTGGAAGACTGAAAGCCAGCAGGAGACGCCACTGAGTAAATGGGGCGAGTAACACCCGAGCCCCCCGGACCGATCCGAGGCAGCGCTGAGACAGATAGCGAACACGGGGCTCTCCCCCAAGAGTCGGAGCGGTTATAGGCGCATCAAACGCTTCCTTGAAACTCCACGAGGAGCCCTCCCGTCCCGACCGATTACCTGAGAAATTGTCGAAGGCGGTAGGAATATATTCCGTAGGGTAGCCGTTGGTGGTATAACTCACCACCAGGCTGGTTTTACCC